CTGTTAGTTTGAAGATTGCCGCTTTCGGGCGGACTAGCAGGGATTATTTATGGAATTTTTCGCTTGATTTCGGCTAACTGGATGCCATTTTAGCTAATTTAAAAGCAAAGACAGGCTAAGAGTGATTCGTTACGGAATTTTTCGGCCGATTTATACTATTTGGCAGTCAGTTTGGCAAATAGGGTCTAATGGCAAGCTAGCAGTGATTGTTTGCGAAGGTTTTAGAAAACTATGGCATTTTTCCTGGAAAATTGATATGTCAGACGTGACACTGTTGGTGTTTCAAATTTACGCTGTTCAGTCCATTTTAAGCGATTTTACAAATTAATATATATTTTTCAGCTAGACTCGGGTACCCATTTCGAGGGACATATATATCACAATATCCCTTCTCTCTCCTCTTCTTCTACAGTAAGATGAGTCATCTGAATATCCTCATCCGACCCGTGCTCTTCCTTCTCATCGTCGCTGCTCTCTCCCACGCATACAGCGGTATGTTCTTACTTGGATTTTTAGGGCAATTGGTTACGGTAGATATATGTAGGGTTTAAGAGTCAAAATAAATATATCATTGAAATAAGGTGAAAGAGTTTAATCGGGGAAATGAATTCAATTTTTTGACAATTCTAGGAAAAGGAAAACGTTCGTTGGGTAGTCTATCTGGCGAAGGAATGGGAAACTTTTTGGTGGGCAAAGATGGGAAACTGCATCGCAAATGCAAAAAGCCATCTTCGGCGGGTAAATGTTGTGACTTTCATGCTAAAATCGTGGCCAATTTCGTAGGGAAACAAAAGCGTTCATTGGATATTTGGCAGGGGCAAATGGGTGAAATGTTGGTCGGAAAAGATGGAAAACTGCACTCGAAGTGCAAGGGGCCAGCGTCGGGTAGATACTGTTTTTAAGACTGATTTTTTTTTTGGTTTTCACGGTGGATTCAGATTTGCATTCTCGAGGTATTTTTAGGAAAAGCCAAGCGTTCATTGGATATATTTGATGGTGGAATGGGAGGGGAAATGAAACTTGCCGCCCAGCCAAAGTCAACCAGAATGCCGAATAATGCTCGCAAAATTGAGGACGGGACGGGTACTGTAAATCTGGGATACGATAGCTTCAGGGAAATGGGATTTCCATTCCGATTTCCGTTTTTGGCTTTTTCGGGTCTTTAGTCGAATTTTTCCTTTTTTTTCGGGTTACGGTATCCCTAGTTTTTTGTTTTTCGAAGAGTCTTTCTAGTGCCTCATGTGAAGCTGTCTCTGGATAGTCTGGATGGGAATGGAATGGGAGCCGAGATGCATTAATACCACGAACAAATAAATTCTATGCAAAAGTTCAGGAATTATTACACACAAAAAATTCAAAAATTGATGATTTTGCAAGATTTAAAATATTTTCTTGGTAATTTTAGTAAGAAATAAGCGGTCACTGGGTAATCTGGATGGAGATGGAATGGGTGGGGAAATGAGGAGAAATCATTTCCTCATTAATAGACAGACGAGGCACCGAGGAGTGGATGCTACTGTAGAATAGGTGTAGAACAGGGAATTAATTACAGCCACACACTTGCACTTTCCGGTTTTTAGCCTGCCTGGATGGCAGTTTAGAGGTTTATGCTAATCTCGGCATTTTCAGTTCGACCCAGCGACGAGGGCGAGATGGAGAAGCCGTCGAAGAGGTCGGTTTTTCGGAATTTTTAAATTTTAAATGGTTTGTAATTTTTGGTTTCTAGAAATTTAGAGTTTATAAATCCTAATTTAAAGTCGGATTCCTCAATCTAAAATGCTACAAATCTTGAAAGTGCATTCGAAACCTTGTATAAATTAATTAAATATTATTGGCCTAAGTTTTACCGTTTCAAAAGCGGTAAATTCCTTGTTGACCACTCTACGCAAATTTTATCCTTTTGTTTTTTGCATAAATAGATTTTAGCGGCATAAAATAAATAACAAAAAAACCAATTTTAGGATTTTTTTGTTAAAGGGGCTCAGAAGTCAAAATTCGTGCGTTCGGGGATTGAACCTACGGGTCAAAAAATGAAAGGGTCACTCCCGAGAAGTGCCAAAATAGTGTGTTGATTGCGAAAAAACGTAAAATGTTTGAGAAAAACCGAATTCTTTGTGGGGCGAAAACGACATTTTGAGTGGGCGGCGATTACATGTCGTAATGCCTTGTAAGGCACCCAATCTCTCGATCTCGGTGATTCTCTAATCAATTTTCATAATTTAAAAGTCTGGAATGATCAAAATTCGTTGAGGATTCCAAAAATCGTCGCAGAATTTTTAAATTCAAGCGTTTTCGCGTCTAAACAGAGGCAAAAGATTATGCGGAGCGGTCGCGTTGCGGCCGCATCTGGCTATTTGCCAGGAATCACAGCAGGGGGCCGTGGACCAGATTTCGGAGCCCCTTTAAAAAATTGTTTGAGAATTTTTGGCGGAATTTTCAGGATCTTGCGTTTTTATACGGTTCGAACTTCGTATTTTCAATTAAGTAAATTTTATAAATTTTTTGCGGGATTTCTAGCTGTATTTTTAGCCTTTTCCACATCAGATCAAAATACACATCTGCTACCCCCTCAACCCAATTAGCGTATCACTTTTTGCCTTTTTCTGCCCCCCTATTTGAATGGGTGTAGGTATTCCTGGAAATGGCAGTTATGTATCACATTTGGGGTAGCATTTTTTCTATTCAAAATCCAGCTATTCTAAAATGGGATGAGCTGAAAGGGCCCGGAAAAGTCCAATCCATCAATTCTTGCCCTCTAAAAGTCAACCTTCAAAAGTACCTAATCATGGGGGTTTTTCGAGGGGATAATCCAATTTTTGCAGGCACGAGTACGCGACAGTCCAATGAACACTTTTCAGAAGAGAGAGAGAGAGAGAGAAAGACAGAGAGAGAGAGGGAGAGAGAGAGAAAGAGAGCAAAATTTGCAGGAAATTACCCAGAACTCAACGCGCCTCCGCCGGCTCGTTTAGCTCATTGAAGAGGGCTAATTAAATTTTTCCATGTGGCTAGAAAGTAGCTGGCATGTTTCAGAGATCGAAATTGGCATTAAAATACGGAAAACTTAGCGTGGAAAATTTAAAATTAAAAAAGCTATTTTCAGAGCCCTGGACTCGATGGAGGACGGCTTTGGTTTCAAGAAGAAGCGAGCGCTCGGCAGTCTCGATGGGGCTGGCTTTGGATTTGATAAACGGTAAACAAACAGAAATATATAGAATCTTAATTTATGTTAATTTCGAAATAAGCAATTAATTCAATAATTTAGTTTTTATCTAAAATTCCGGTTTGTAAACTTTTTTTCTGCTCTTAAAGGACACGTTCAGGGACGTTTTTTGAAAAAAGCAAAAGGCTTTTGCCGCGGCCGGGGGTCGAACCCGGGCCCCCCGCTCGGGAGGCGCGGAAGGATACCAGTCAGCCATAGCTACAACCTGGCGAGGGGGTGAGGGGCGCCCCACGCCGCAAAGGAGGGGAATTGCCTGCCACGACACGGGCAGGCAGTGCGCGCGGTCCCAACGTCCATAGGGTGTACACGTTGGGACGAGTACACGGCCCCTGCCTGAACGTGCGCTTTAAGCAATCTAATTTTTCATTTAGCATTTTTGAATGATTTAAAAATAGTTTATTAATTAATTGAAAACGTATATTTTAGCGCACTCGACAGTATGGACGGTGCCGGTTTTGGATTCGACAAGCGCGCACTTGGAAGCCTTGACGGCGCCGGATTCGGTTTTGACAAGCGGTAAAGTTGAGTTTCTATTTTTTATCGCATTTTTTAGAGCCCTAGGCAGCCTCGACGGGGCCGGTTTTGGCTTCGACAAGCGGTAAGCTACAAAACACAAACTTTTAAAACTTTTTTAGAGCTCTCGGCAGCCTCGACGGAGCTGGATTCGGTTTCGACAAGCGAGCACTTGGCAGCCTGGATGGAGCTGGATTTGGTTTTGATAAGAGGTAAAAAGTTGAAAAACTAGTGGTCTGGATCCGGAAACTACCTGCAAATCAAATTCCAAAAAGCAAAAAGTTTCTCCCCGGCCGGGAATTGAACCCGGGTCTCGCATGTGACAGACGCGGATACTCACCACTATACTACCGAGGACACGTGGGAGGGTCTCTTTTCAGGGCACTTGACTCACTCGACGGCAATGGACTCGGATGGGCAAAGCGCTCCCGGCAGCACAGGATTATGGGCAAGTTTTAACAGATTTAACCGGTTTTAAAAGTATTTTTAATGGGAAATAGGGAGAAAAATATGCTTATTTGAATCAGCATCATTTCATCGCTATGAAATCTTTCGATGTAGAGTTTTTAGCTGATTTTTTAGTCGTTTTCTCCCGGAAATCGATTAAAAATAACTTTATTTTGTAATAACTTTTTAAATCTACAGGTTTCAACAATTTTAATGGCATAGTTACTTTATCTGACTGTCTGTTTAAAGTTTCCACAAAAAATTGCGGCCTTGAATGATTTTCGGGTTTGTAGCTATATTAAGAGTTTTTCGCGGTTTTAGACGTATTTAATTTGGTTTTTAATTGTTTTTGAGAGAAAACAGATACAGTAATGATTACGAATGTAATATCTGGATGGCAGCTGAGCGTTTCCCACAGAAAAATGTCCGATTTTGAGCGATTCTCGGGTTTTTAGAAATTTTTTAAAAGTTGTTAAGCTTTTTAAATGTTCTAAATTTTTAAAATGTTTCATCGATTTTTCAGGATTCGGAAGCCGCGCCGGTGCCCTCGGATTCCGCGCGTTGAACTAAACGGCCGAAAAGAACAAGAAAAGAACGAAAGAAAAGCAGGGCCCGTCCAAAAAGACCGATCTCACTTCCCCCTCTAGTTATTTTGCTTGGTTTCTTCGTATAATATTTGGTGTGTTAACAAAGGAAATGTTTCGATTGTTTGAGGGTTGTTTATTTTGAGAAAAACACACGAATGAAGAGGGAACAAAATAAAGTGACAGTCGAGAAAAGCGACGTTTCTTGAGAGCCATTATTCTGATTGCACAGATCAGAATCGCAGCAGGTTGTCGTGTGACTGATTTCGCCCTCGTAACGGTGCCGGGTTTCTACTTTCTGAAAAGTTGATCGATAGCTCTAGGCAAATCCTATATAAAAACAATAAAAATGTGACCAGTTTAACGATATCTTATATTTTGAAGTAATTGGCCTAAAATTAGAATTTTATCTAATTAGAATGGGTCAAAAATGGTTTTAGCTGGTGAATAGGAGGTATTTCGACGTCTTGATATTTGATGAATTTTCCATATAAATTTTACACATAAAATAGCTTAATTAAATTGGTTTAGCTTATACTTACAATTTTAACTATAGTAAGTGAATACGTCAGTTTTTTTATTTGTATAAAGTCCTTTTTTATGAAAATTCTACGCTGAAACTAATCACAAAATTTAGCTATTTGAATAACCTAAGGCGTTGCGGCCTCAAAAAATTTTATTTTGAAAGTTTATGGTATTAATGATCAACTAAACTAAGTATAGTCATCATTTTAGAAAACTTGGGCAACGAATTTTACAAATCTAACTTTTTTTGGATATTTTTAAAGTACCTGACACGCCGCATCATCTTCCGGATTTAAATTGACGTCGGCGCACTCGAGACGGGTTAACTAAAACATAATATAATCAGTTAACAAAATCGCAAATCCCAAAAAATTCCAACCTTGACATCCCCTCCATCCTGAACGTATTTCACGCAAAATGTCTGCGTGGCGGTGCAGTTGGTTTTTGTCTGAAAAAACAAAACAAGGAATTCATAAAATTTCTACATCAAAAATCGAAGTTAAACAACTAACCAACGCGGATTTTTGTGCTTTTCCATCAACTACAGTAGTCGTTAGATTAAAGCATTGAAGCGCAAAACTTTGGACGAAAAATACAGCAAATAAAATCAGAAATAGCCGCATTAATGGACGTTGAAATTGACGGAATACCCGAGGTTGAGATCTAGAAGTGTTTATTGAGGATTCAAAAAATCGAAAAATTTAATTTTTTTGGAGTTATGAAAACGAAGCTTTTAAATCGATAAATCAGCAAAATTTCGATGGAAGTTTTGTCTGACCGCCAGCTCACTCGGCTTCTCCTTCCCCCTCCCCATCACCATATCTCATCGGCCGGGGTGAAAAAAATTTACAACGCCCATATAAAATTATTACGGCGGCTGGGGAGCTCCTGGAAAATTTCGATAATTTGTTGACGTCATCGGACGAAGTGTGCGATGGTTTTTTGGATTTTGGAATGTGGAGGGGCGGTGCAGGTGTACGCAGCGCATAAAAAACTTTGAAAAAGTTTCAGGCTCGGTGAAAGTAGTTTTTCAACCATTTTAATGTTTTCTGTAACCGGTATTCTTTGTTAACACTGCTCAAAAAATCAATAACAGATTTATTTTTACTGGTTGGTAAGAACAAAGCCTCAATGATATGCCATCTTCTTACAAATCGCATTATACCCCATGGATTTCTCCTCGGCTTCATCCCAATTCGTTCGGCGGGCCAGGAAGTCGGTATCCGGGCCATCACTCCTAGAAATCAAAGTATCATTGCTTGACCAAATGACCAACAAGGCATCAAAAACAAAACGAAACGACCAACCCGCGCAATGACAGTGCAGGGTAGAGCTGGAAAAAGTGCCTAGCTTTCTAAAAGTCTATAGATACCTTGACATATGTCCTATAACTCTTTGAAACATCCTGGCGTTCTGTTTCCCAATTCGAAAAGTCAAACACGGTGCTATCTATCCATTCAAAATGCGTCGAATTTGGTCCAAACTAGGTTTAACGAGGAGATAGATACAATTTGAACACTTACCCTTCTGCCGCCAATCCATGTATGAAGTTTGTGGGTTTGTGAATGGGTTTCATATTGATTATTGTAGCTTCCAGTTCTTTTTGATATTCGGAGGTGACGGGGGAAGTAGGTCTTGGCCAGCTCTGGGATAACATTGCGTAATCTATTATAATAGCTATGAGCTGACCAGCAAGGAACAGATTTTCTGTCAAAGAGTGGATAGATGTAAGATTGGCTCGGATGGATTGACAATGGCTTTGTGCTTGAGGCCAAGTGAAGCCCGCGTGGTCACCAATTAACTGAATGGATACAACGATGATATCCAGTTTAGCGATACCTTATAACAACCCTTGCTACTCGGATAATAAATCCATCCAACGTCGCATCGCGGTTTTTCCTGGATATCGGTGTTTATCTGGCTTTGAAATTGGCAGCTCATACCGTATCCACACCAAAACAGGCCACTTGGTATTTATTCAAATCCGTTGCACCCGACTTCAACCTGTCATTCTTGATATTTCCTAGCAGAGCACCTTTGGAAATATTTGCTAAAATGAGACGGGTCTCGTTTCTTTTCTTAACGGGTAAAACCGATACCATTAGTCGCCCAAACCGCTGACTGACTACCATCTTTCCAGTGAATCCTCGACCCATCAAAATAGCCGCCAAGCCAGAAATAGTTTTTTGATTCCTGGTAGTGCATTGTAATGGATAATAACGCGTTATGCTTACAGAAACCTTCCTCCTTGCTTGCCGCAACACAATCAACTTTTCTTTTTGACTTCCAAAGGAGGCAATTGCCATGTTTAGACTAGACATTTGGCTGTAAAGAAACAAAATCAAGCCGTTACTTTTCGCAATATTCGACGCCTTGTTCGTAGTCCATAACATATGGAGACACATGATAACATTTCTGATGATCACTATACCAATCAGAATCCCTTGGGCAGAATGCCAGAGCGCTGGTGAAAAAGCAGAATGCGAGAAACAAGCTTTGCAACATCCTCCAACGGATGAAGGTGAATGTAAAAGAGTTTTGAGACTGAGCTGTAGAGGTCGTAACGAAAATCGAGAAATTCGAGTGAACCACGGGTCGTTTATAAGAGACTTTTGTTTATTGCCTACAAAGCTGCCAGATATTGCAGCGGTGATCGAAAAGTATCAAATAACAGCAGGGCCAGAGTTCAGTTGCGATGCCGTTCAATTTTTGATGCGTCGCCGAGTCGAGCCTGCAAACAGTCGATTAGCCAAAAAGTGCTGGTTTCGATGATATAATTAGCTTTTTGCGAAAATTTTGTTAATCTTCGTTGGTAGGAAACCATTAGCATGCGCTGCAACTAAAAAAAAGCTATATAAAGAGACAGCAGGGGTTATTTGTCATTTCTTCGTATCGGGATTCGGAAAAAAAGACCTATATCTATATGACGATTGACTAAAAATGCGTGTGTAGTTGCCGATAAAACATTTATTTGTACCAAGGAACGATCAATCATATGGCTTCTTTTTGCAAACAGCATTATAGCCTATCGCGGACTCGTCGGCTTCATCCCATCTTAACGCCTTCTTGAGATAGTCCTTCAGTTGCCAATTAAAACTGAAGATTAAAAATATTTTTACAATACGAAATTTTCTTTCCTTCCGAGCCGGGCCTTGACCGAATACGTAAAGAGGGTAGCTTACTTGGTAGAGAACATAACAGGGTATAACTGAAAAAATGCTGTTCTTGTTCGACCATCGGAAAATGTCTACCTTGAGGTATTTTTGAGGGGTCATTGACGTTCTTGCGGACCTGTTCTGGTGCCAAAAGGCATAATTGAATTTTGCACCGTCACTCCATGCAAAATCATCTGGCCCTTCCCCTACCTAATTAATTATGTTTATCGTTAAAGAGCTCTTTATACCCTGCGTCCGCCAATCCAGGTATGGAGTCGAGACGAACTTTGACTGTTATGATTCACATCAAAGTATGTCGCGGCGAGTCCTTTAAAATTTCATGAAAACCCTCGATTGTTCGGTGCTTGACTGTTTTCAGACTATTCTTACCTGCAACGATAAGATTTTCATAAATAGAGAAAATTGAGGTAAGGTCCGACCCGAAGCCCTGACATTCACCGCGTGCCTCCGTCCAATTGAACCCTATCCAACTACCAATGACCTTAAAGCTGATCGTAAAATTTGGTAAAGATTGTGATAACCTTATAACACGACTCCAGGCTAGAATAATATGTCCATCCATCGTCACATCTTGATAGCGTTTTCACTTCAAAGACATACGAGGTGCATTTATCCGGCTGGAAATGATGGTGATTTGGCGGAGGCGAGGGCGGGAGAAAATACCGAATTTGGTCCAGAACACGCCACAGGATGTTCTCCATCCATTTTTGTCTCCCATGAATTACCTTTCAGGGTTAACACCACATTTCCGGGGGTGAGATGGCCTGGATTTGCAGACGAATCACTGACTATAGAAGAAGGCTTTACCGGCTGTTATCCTAGTATAATTCGACGGGCTACCATCTTTCCATTCGATATTTGACCCATTATAGAATCCTCCAAGCCATAAGAATTTGCTGTCGCCCTGCAACTTCCGCTTTATGACTCATTCCAAGTACTAGAATACGCTCCCGAAAAAAGCTTACAGTTATCTTTTTCCTCGCCTGGTTCAAGACGGACAAATATTCGTAGTAATCGGTAATAGAAGCAACGGCCAGATTCCAACGAAAAATTCGGATATTAGACGCTTGTCTCGTTATATTCTCTTCGCAATTTACCTGGCGCAATAAGCAACGGCATCTGGGTATGAGAGGCTATGGCCTGATACATGAAAACATTTCTTGTTTTCTCGATCCCAATCAGCATCAAGAGGGCAAAATGCGAATATGTACGGCGTTAGTAGTGATAGTAAAATTACCACCAGCATAGCAGAGAGTTTGCCAAATTTGATGGAACTGCAAAGGCCGAAGTTTCCATTACGGAAAGTTTTTGTTTATCATTCGTGAGGCTGGCGATAGCTATCAAATTTTTGGCGTGCAATCCAACGATCGATGGATTTTTTTAAACACAACGGATTTTTTACCTGAAGAGGAAATGGTGCTCAAAATATTCTATAATATAATTTGGTATGTTATAATTTGGCATATTATAATTTGGTATGTTCTTTGTGTATTCGTTGCCATTATTCCGATTAAGGTCCGTTTATTGATAGCGGTAAATAAAATGGCGGATCAAGAGTACGGCTTCTTTTTACAAACTGCATTGTGGCCTTTGACCGTCTCGTCGACCTCGTCCCATTTGTAGAATTCGTACGATTCCCATTCTTTTTGCTAAAATGCATTTATCGCAAATTCTTCCCGAAAAATCATCGGGGCACCGTAATGATGTGAAAACGTAGCGAAATGAACATTTACCCGGTTGATCGCACTGCCACCTGACGTTTCCTTGCCGCTAAAAGCTAAAGATTTGTCTGTAAAACTAGACAGAAAAATCGTAGATAAATCACCGACTCAATATGCGTCGACCCCGTGTAGTCCTGAAGAAAATTGCACAAATGAATGGCTTTCAAAGATTGGATACCTTGACATGTTTTTGTGGGGTATTCAACGCTGTTAAGGGTTTATCCATGCGCCAGTTAGTATAGTTAAACGGTGCCCCGTCAGTCCATGCAAAATCGTTTGCTCCGCTTCCATTCTAGGTCAATAATTTGATCTGGTGAATCCAGCTCATTACCCTGTATGCCCCAATCCATGTCGATGTGATGGCAGACAGCGTTGATTTGAACAAATTTTGATCAAAGTAAACTTCGGTTAGCGCTAAAAAATAGGGTTATTGATAGGATTGTTTATAAACAAATAGGAAAAACTGGATTTATTTTCGGGATTTTATATTATATGTACCTGCCAGAATCTCATTTTCCTCATCAGAAAGAATCGATGTGAGATCAGCGCCCATAGATTGGCACCGACTTTTTTTACTAAGGTCCCATTGTGGAACATAAATAGTGGAAGTGTTTCTAAACTGCTTTATACAATTTTTAAGCCTACAACCTTACAAATTTTCAATAAAAAATACAAAAATGTCAATTTTTCGACCAAAATGGCCATCGACCTTTTATCATAATTTTGCTTTTCGAATTTTTTGGAGGGTTTTAGATAGTTTTTCTAGTTCAGATATAGTTATATTCGACAAAAAAAGCTATGAAATTGTTCTTTTAAGTTTCCAGGCATTCGGGACTTAATAAACAAAAATAGGCTCCCCCCGATAACGCAAAAGAACCCGGATTCATTGGACACCTTATAGCACGAGTCAGTGCTAGAATAATATGTCCATCCATCATCACATAGATGTCGTTTTCAATATGAATATATGTGTAGTGCACTGATCTGGCTGAAAAAGATTGTTCTTGTTATACAAAGTAATTTAGCTGATATTCTACCGTATTTGGCCCAGTGCCACCGGATATTCGCCATCGACTTTCGTCTCCCACGAATCATCTTTTAGATTTAATACTGCGTATCCCGCCGAAGTACCTGAATTATTGGCGCAAAAAAAATCAAAAGCAAAGAAAAATACCCAGACGTAATTTGTGATAAATAGACTGTGTGCCATCTTTCCATTCGATATTTGATCCATTATAATATCCACCCAGCCATAGCAATTTTGCCTTGTCCTTAAGCTTTATTTATAAAACTGTTTCCGGTACCAGCCGTCGAGAAAACGACTTACAACCCGTTTCTTCCTCGCCTGATTCAACACACACAACAATTCGTATTGATTTCTGACCGAAGCAACAGTTAGATTCAAGCTAAAACCAAATTTAGTGATTAATTTCCGATATTTCGGTTCTCATCTTGCCGCCTACTTTGCGCAATAATCCATGGCTTCCGTGTATGACATTCCATGGCTTGAGACATGAAAACACCTCTCATGTTCCCGATCCCAATCAGCATCCAGGGGACAAAATGCTAAGAGGTTTTGCACCAGAAATGCTAAAAAGATCCCAATTCGCATCGCAGAGTGTTTTTGGTTGTGCGATGGGCCAAAACTCGTGGCGTTCGGTTTATCTAGCGTTCATTGTTTATCATTGGATAGATTCGCCCGATTGTCGTCTCGGAAAACTGATGAAGAATTCCGAGACTTCTCGGAATTCTCGAAAATTTCGAACAGTACTTGGAAAAACGATCGCGCTTTGTGTTTTTTTAAACACACTACCAGGGTTGAAAAGCCGCTTCGCGACTTTTCAACCCTGGCCCCGTTTCGACAAATGAAATTGTAAAATTTGCATAATTCCGCCTCAATCAAGCTGAAAAAAATGAAAAGATTTTGTTCCATCCCTTTATATAAGCTTCTTCTACTTCCGGTATATGCTAATTGTTTCCTAACAAAGAGGGTTCCCGAAAATTTTAGAAAAACTTATTTTTGCTATCAAAAATAGCTTATTTTGATAATTTTGAAAAGTGTGCAGTCATCGCAGAGCCATTACGCACCTAATGATGTATCATACGTACCCTAAAACTCATCCCCTATTGAGTTATCCTCCGGACATACAGATGGAAGTTGCATGCAAATCGACACACACACAGACACTATTTTTTTATATATAGTAGGATATAGTAGGATAGTTTTTACACAAAACAAACAAAAACCGTTATGGCTTCCACCCTTTCTCCGTCATCCCCCCCCCCCGGAATTTTATCTCGATCGCTCGTCTCACACTATTTTTGCCTCAGAATTCTATGCCTTTGCGATAGGCTTTAAGATACAAGTTATGCTCACTTTTTCGCAAAAATTCCTTTTTTATAACGTTTGATGCAGAATTTGAAAGCATTTTTTTTCGTTTATTTCCAGGGTTTCTCGACAAGGATGGATTTTGTTGATTTGCCACTGCCCTTCCATCGGTGCGTCCTCGATTTTATGGGAAGTGCATGGCCAAAGGCGCGATTCCGCTACGCACGCTCATGCCGTTTCCTTTGGAAAATAACCGAGGAATCGGAAGATAATTTGATGGGCCTTAATCTGTTTATGGATCGTAACGAGGTGGCTATCGGGTATTATCCCAAAAACTTTGTATCAATCACAAATCCACGTATTCAAGCCCTGTTGTTAAAGGGATGCCCAACCTTTCCGAGAGTCAAAAAGCAAAAACCATGTCGCGGGTGGGGGTCGAACCTGGGACCCCCGTTTTGTAGGCCTGGATGCTATCCATTAGGCCATAGTGGCAAGCCATTGGGCGGCATGGGGACGCCACAAGAGGGAAAGGGTCCGACTTTTGTGCGTCAATGGGCCCCCCGTTACCGCGCGGAATTCGCGCGTCAGTTGTACTGCCCGGAATATATAACTATATATTTGCTGCCAAAACATTGGGTATCCCTTTAAGCGTCTCGATTGACAACACTACCGAGTTACACCGCTTCCCAGTGGGTGGGGGTCCCGGATGGATTTCGAACGTTCCGCCGAGGTCGAATAAAGTTTTCGTGTTTTAGCTGCATTAAAAGACTTCCGTCAGCACATAAAAATTTATTAAAACCAATAAATCGTTATTTTCAATAAAGCGCCACTTTCTTGCAAACAGCATTATTTCCGGTTGAAAACTCGTCGTCTTCATCCCAATGGTATCGCCGGGTCAAGAAATCACCATCCGGGCCATCAGTTCTATTCGAATTTTTGTTAATGGAACGAAAAATGCCGTTAAAATAGCGATACCTACCCAAAAACGATGACCGATGGGTAGAGCTAAAAATGAATATATTTGGATTTTAACGTCAAAATCGATACCTTGGCGTAGGTTTGAGTAAAATTCGACATTAGCGGTCTCTCTTTATGCCAATTTGAAAAATTAAACTCGCTACCGTCCATCCATACAAAATCTGTTGAACCATTTCCAATCTGAAAATTTTCTGCTATCTTATAGTTTTAATAACTACTCTTTTGGCCCCGATCCACGTGTGAATTTTCGTTTTCTTCGAAATACCATAAGTGACTCCGAAATAGGTACGGGCCATTCCTTAAACAATTGAAAATTGAAATTCGATATTTCTGACCTTCAACAATATTATTTTCTTCGTGAGAATGAATTGAGGTAAGATGGGAGCCCATAGATTGACATTGACTTTGTGCTTGAGTCCAAGTGAAGCCGACATAATCACCAATTAACTGAAAATATGCCTACTGAGGTATCGATATATGAAATACCTTATAACAGGCTCTAGTAGTTGGATAATACGTCCATCCTGTCTCACATGGTGGCACTTCCTGAATGTATATGAGTTTCATAATCAGTGAAGCCGTTTGGCATTGCGGGTGTTTTTTGAATGATTCAATATTACCAGGGAATTATAAAGCATAAAATATAAATAGTATAAATTAATTTCTAGGAATACTACCGTGTCGTATCCCGAGCACATAACTGGATACGCGTCACGTCCGTGGATCGTTTCTTTCGGGTACTCGCCGGCCTTCCATAGAATCATTTTCCCATTTGGAGGGCCACGCAGCCAATATATATTAGAGATGTCCTAAAAGCACGCAAATCCGGCAGTGTCTACTATAATGATAGTTAAAATTCGGGAGGATTTCAAACTTACATTAAGCTTCATTTTTGCCTGATTCTGGGTGGCCGATATATCATATTCATCGTCATCCAAAGCGATTACCATATTTAGACTGAGAAGCTGTTTAAAAAGTTATTTCGAGATGGCGCAACTTTTTGCAATATTCAACAGCATCCGTGTAGGTGAGTTTTAAGGGGGAGGCATGGTAACACTGGCGATTGTGATGATCCCAATCCGCGTCTCGGGGGCAGAAACCGGAAATAATAGAGAAAATAGAGGCGAGAAAAATAGCAGCGATCATTTGAGATTTAAGAATTTTGATAGAACAGCCGAAATTTCGAGGCAGCGTTTATAGAAAATCGTGTGTTTCTAAATAAAACTCGCCGTTCTTGGAGCTATCCGATTACGACATAAAAAAGAAACCCCCGTTTTAGCTTCAGCAGCGCGTTTTGTCTCAGTCAATTTTTAAAGTGAATTTCACTGTTTTTAACGTTTAAATTTATACAATTTTTGGCCTTTCGGTGTATCTTTCTCGCCCCCTTCTTCCGGTTAGAATATTTTTAGCCGCTTCCTCCCCCCTAGCTGACGGTCATCAATCCGATTTTGTTGTATAGATTTACGTGTGTTGAGGGAGAGGGAGGAGCATGACCCGCTTCACATTAATCTTGATAGCTGGAGGGGTGGGGGAGGGGAGGAAAGAAGCGGAAAAGAGGGCCCAAACGTCCTTGTTTTCCACGTGAAATTTTGGGGCCTGGAGAGAGAGAGAAAGGACATCTCGTCACCCTCATCCTCATCAAAAGGTGAAGGGGCAGAGACCCTTTGTGGAACACTCCCTTCGCCCTGTCCAAGGCACACCTCTTGACAGGTCGATCAGCTTTTGGCCGTCATTCCAGGGCCTGGCTTCTTCCTGAAAGCATTCCAGTCGACCTATGGACTTTACAGAGTTGACTTTTGGGGGTTTTAAGGTTATAAACTTTGCAAAAATCGATTTATCACGTTTTCAAGCAAAAATAGAGACTTTGTGCGACTACGGTAGCGCGTTAAAAGAGCAGAATCGCTTGGCTATAAATCTGGTGGGCCTCCTCGCTCGTGCTCCCCAACCACATCCCCACAAATGCCAGCTGAGCACGTAGCTATCAGCCTACCCCCAGCTGTAGAGTGTAAATAGGTGCTTTTCGTCCTCTTATTGTTAGTCAAGGTTTTTTACTATCAAAACACAAAACACGAAGAGCCTTTCGCTCTATCTCTCTCTCTCTCTCTCTCTCTCTCTCTCTCTCTCTCCCTCTTTCCCTCTCTCCCTCTCTTTCTCTTCTCTTTTGATGTTCCCCTTTTTGCTACATTTGTTTACCTGTCCCTTTCACCCCTCTTGGCTTCATCCCCCGTATCATCCCACATCCGGTTAAGCCCCCCCAATTTTTGACAGCCCCCACGTGCCATCTTCATCATGGCCATCATCGCTATCGGGTGTCACCTTTCATGAAGTGTAGTAGCGTTCCGTACTCCTATGATTCTGTGCGCACCGGACATTCTTTGCACCTTTTAGCGGAAAGAATTTTTATTCTTGTTTCTAGGACTTTGTCGTAATAATGGTAATGCAATGCCCTTTTCAGAACGTTAATATACGATTTTTCCAGATTCAACTTGATTTAAACCAAGAAAACTAGATAAACCTACTTTTTTCGAACCTTTGTGTTTTCTCAGAAAACATGGTCAGAAAAATGCCTTCTTAAAAATCGTGTAATATTGATATACATAAAACATACATAAAACAGTATAATTTATCAAATATAAATTTGCATTGATTTTACCACAAAGAATTCCCCATTAATTCTGCCGTGACTCGAGACGTAGCGCATGAGCAAGCTTACAAATGTTGTAATGCATTACGCAATCGATAGGCGAGCGCGCGCGTCGCGCGTCGCGACCAATCCATGACAATATCTTGTCCATGCCCTTAAAACAACAGTGTTAGTAAGTATCATTAATTCCCAACCCCCATTTTCTGCTAATCGTTAGAGCCAATTGTCGCAGTTCATCTTCCTTCCCATGTCCTCCTCCTCCTCCTCCCCTCTTTTTTCATCAATTGTACATTGGCCGTTTCTTCCTCTATGGCCCATTCTCCACCCCAAAAGACAAATTATCGCGATAGCCGCTCTGCCCCTCGAAAAAGTGGTTGTTGACGGGGACCCTTCCTCCTTTCCGACTTGCAACAACTTTCCGGGAATTGTCCTTTCCATATCATTCCGCTGTCCGTCATAAACCTCTTTACACCCCAGAGAATCAACAGCAATTTTGAAATTTTAATCTTTAAACCGCCAAAAAAAAACTAAAAAATCGCCAAAATGATTTTTTCTTTCAAATTGACCGCCAGCCACCTATCTACAACTCATGAATTCGAAGAAATCGCAAGATTTCAGATTGTCCACCCCTAAACGCTCGAAAAATCGCCAAAATTCCGTCGTTGAAGAGTTTGCACTGGGTGGCCAATTGGATGCGATCACATGGTGGGTATTATTCGGCCGGTTGGAGGGTTAAAGGTACATTGAAGGCAACAAAAAGCCCTCCTCGACCCCGGATTTATATGTTTGTTTGTGCTTTTTGCGAACCTCTCGTGTCCTGGGGGGCTGATGGGTAAAAATGGGACCCCCGCCAAAATACACGTGTACTTTTGGGCTCTGAAAACACCCATAAAACAAGGCGAATGACATGGAAATAGGTCACCAAAAGGTTCGACAAGCTCAAAAAATAAGATGAGCAAAAATTAAATGAAAGAAAATTAAATATACAAAACACAGTGGGCCCTTCCAAAATAAAGGGCTGGGGTAGGGATACAGTAAGATTACTTGAGCAATTTAATTGGCGAGCAGTTAAGTGAAATATCGATTGAGCGGCGTCTAAAAAAATGCTACAAACTACAATTCTAGACGTCTCTCCGTTATGTGGTCGCTGTGTCCTATTTGGCCTCTACATAATTCTCATCATGGAAACGGCTACCGTAGCCCTCCTCGGCTATGCGGCTTGGAGGGAATTCACGCAGATATTCTCGTTACGAGTTCATGAAAGGTGGGCTGAATCGGATTTTACGACGTAATCGATTAAACTGTCATTTTTTTGTTAAATTTTAGATAATAAAAATAGTTAAACTAAAGACTAACGACAATTTTTTAGAAAAATAGTGGTTTTTGGAGTAGAGAATTTCATAGTGTAGTAGATTAAATATCTGTTCAGCCGAGGTTTTGAGGTTCAATCTTAACTATAACTTAACTGGCTGGTAAACTACACGCTACAACTCTAAAAATTGGAATAGCATATATCGAGTAATTTTGATGGCGTAATCGGTTAAACAGACCGCCGAGCTACCCTTTTACGGGTTGGAAATTTAAATGTGGCTTAACTGGCTTCCGAGCTACAAACTACAGGCTTCAAAAACCTCCAAAACTTGATTTTAGAGATCCCAACGCCGTCATCATCCTTACGGTCGTGATCGTTGCCCTGATTGGCTACGGTATCAGCTTGCCTCCACTTTGTTGGGCGACGCACGTAATTCTACTGTATCCCGGCCAATATATCTAATATTTAGACTCAATCCTCGTCAGCCGTCGTCCCATATATGTCATGGAGATTGCTATTCAATACATTGATAGTCATCATTGTGTTGTCACAGGTAGATAGAATTTGAAAATTTATCATTATTATTTACTAATATATAATTTATCGTTTTTAATTATTGTTCGATTGTCATTTTTAACTTTTTCAATTTTAGAGTATTTTTAGACACTCGTTGGAAGGCGAAAACGAGCAGTCCCATTTTCGAATTCGTTGTATGGCCGCCAATTGACGGTGGCCATAGCAGAGGTGGGTCGAAAAATAGATGTAAATTCTTTGATTCTATTGTTGTGATTTTTAGCCTAATTTTTCAAAAATTTCAAAGCTCTGATGGGCAGTGTAACCAAAAAAAAATTGAACAACCAGCGCCCAAAACCCGCTTCGCGGGCCTTGGGCGCTGGGATGTGGCCTCCGCATGAGAAATTTGACTTTTCGATAGCTCGGGCCCTTCGGACCCCCTCCCCCCCACCACCGACCACACGCGCGCGTGCTACTCGCAAGAATGAGGACATTTCTATTATTTCACATTATGCAAATTGGCCCTCAGGGACCTCAAAAATGCATAAAACCGGCTTTAACTTTGTAAACTTGTATTTTATCGAAATTCTGAGCACGCCATCGGAAACAGAAGGGTCGATTCCCCGAGGTGACGGAGAATTAGGGCATTTTATTCACGGGAAGGCCCTCAAATCGGAGCTCGAAACTGACATCCGCACACACACACAAAGATACACGCCAAAATTATATAAGGTAGGATATTTTAAAACCGTGGGGCAAGCGAGTAGAGCTGTTTTGCGCTAACCAAGGATTAAATTGCCAATTTTACCCTGGATGGGCAGCCTAGCAAAGATCATTTGGGAGGAAAACCTGAAATAATCAAAATTTTTTTAGTTAGTGTTCGGATCCGTCTTCCTGCTAATCTCCCATCTGGCCCATCGCCACTACGAGAGACTCCGCCTGAGACGCCATGAATCGGATGAGGATCTCGTCTTTGATAAGGCCCCAATTCATGCATTTGCGTAAAACCCCCAAAAACTTTAATCCCCATCTTTTGTATTTTTTTTTCAGATTGAATCTGCATATTTGTAAAACTCGCTTATAAATTTTGCGTGTGCTTTTTTGAGGCTCCGATATCCGGTATTAAATGTGATTTCGTATTCTCGTGCTTTGTAGTTTGTATTTTGTATTATGATGAGAAGCGCAAAATTTTGGCCTGATTATTCCGCTCATTTTTATCCCACTTTATTCACGGGTGTTTGACCAGAATTTCAATAAAAGTGTAATATCAACTATAAGAATTCAGTAGTGGTGTCTGTCTGTCTGTCAGAAGCCAACTATAACTCGAAGGGGAAAGGAGGTAGAGCTTACAAGGGAACCTCACGCTGACAGGGTGGAATTTCGAAAAACGCTCGCGGCTACCCCTAGGTAATCGGCCATTGTGATCACGATGCGCTTGTCAGATTTTTCTGAACACACCTGTGGACAGAGATACATCACTTCCGGAAAATGCTGATTTACATGCAAAAAATTAGCATAGCTGAATGGTTTATGAGGCTCTCCCATCACTATGGAATCACCAGTTGAATGGCCGAGTGGTAAGCGACTCGCTTGATAGGATTATGACCAGGGTACGGACCCGCTCACGGCTTTTTCGTTTTGCTTTTTGGCCAGCGATTTTTGGCAGAAGTCCAGAATCATATGTATTTAAGTGCTTACCACGTTTACAGGAGTTGTGCATCCGCCGAAGTCAAAAGGTTGTGCATTCAAAATTTTAGCTTTTTGGCAGAAATATGTGGGAACCACCAGCCGGAACATCCAATTTTCGTTTTTCGAATTCTTTATCTTTATGGCCAGTCATGAAATACAGCGCAAAGTTCGGTTTTTACTAATGGTAGTAACATTCTGGACTTGTGCAAAAATCGCTAGCCAAAAAGCAAAACGAAAAAGCGTGAGCGGGTCCCTACCCTGGTCATAATCCTATCAAGCGAGTCGCTTACCACTCGGCCATTCAACTGGTGATTCCATAGTGATGGGAGAGCCTCATAAACCATTCAGCTATGCTAATTTTTTGCATGTAAATCAGTGGTTTCCGGAAGTGCTGTATCTCTGTCCACAGGTGTGTTCAGAAAAATCTGACAAGCGCATCGTGATCGCAATGGCCGATTACCTGGGGGTAGCCGCGAGCGTTTTTCCAAATTCCACCCTGTCCGCGTGAGGTTCCCTTGTTAGGTCTCTTCGGATTTGGATAGAGCCTATTCAGAAACGCCTTAAATAATCCAAAATTATGAAAAAGTTTTTGTTTAAATAAAAATAATTAGCTTTGAAAGTGGCGCCTTAATGAAATGAGTGGGGGGCCCTCTCCCCGGGAGGCCACGCCCCCTTTCCCCGCCCCCGTCCCCAAGCCCTTTCCCGCGCCCAGATCGCTTTTCTTCAGTTGCTTTCATACTTTTTAATTATTTTAATTCATTATTTAAATCCTTTAAAGTATCTAAAGCCAGGGGGAGGGAGCGGAAGGGGTAGCCCAAAATCCAGCCGCTTGCAGCGGCAAAGCCGCTGTAAGCGGCTGGTTTTTTTATGAGTTTTTCAAGTCAGAAAGACCAGCCAAAGCAAGGATGAAGTTCCTTTTCCCCCGTGCCTCTTTCTGTGTAACACTCCACCACACCAATCATAACCCCTGGGGCTTTTGCTTCCTTTTTCTAGCGAAAACTGGCCGATTTGACCTCCCAGAGACTGGCTCGGTCCTGGAACCCGGAAAAAAGAGAATGATGTCCCCCCCAGGTGTCAGCTGGTCCCAGCCAATTTTGACAATTTGAGAACTTCAGAGGTGTTGGCATAAAAATCAAAAATACTGGCTTCGTTCAGCGACTTGTTCGGAAACAAAATATACAGGTAAATCGGATATACAACAAAATTCGGATAAAAATGTGAAAAATAAATAAAGTCGCAGACTCGGTAATTAATTGGAAAACCAGGAAGATTTACATGAAATCGATACGCGTAGCTGCTTCAACGATAAACAACTGGTTAGAAAATGGCAAAATAGTTCTTTTATTTGCTCAATTTTACGCAGACTAAACGCCAAATTGCGATTAGAGTGCCTCTATCAATAGCGGGCCTAGAGATATACCGTTTTATTCCTCAACAATCACTGCCAGCCACATCACTTTACGGTTGTTTAGCTTCTTTTTACACCAATTTCTGATGGATTGAGCTTGATTTCTCTGCCGATCTGTCTCTCTGACTGTCCGCCCATCTTTTTCTGCTTCTGTGCAAAGCCGTATTTTGATTTCCCTCATCCATCATTATCACTTTTTCACACAGTGAAAAGCGCAAAATAGCCGAAAAGGACCCAGCTGTGGCCCGCTCCATCCATTTTTCTTCTTCTTCTTCCTCCTCCTTGTCAATAATGATCGATTGGAGCCAACACTGGGTTGAGAGATTTCGAAAAATAGTCAGGCAGCCGTAAAAAGAAAGAAAAGGGAATTTTTGGGCCTTACTGTCTGGCTGTCACATCAAGAAATCGGTGGAAAATACAAGAGGCCCCACGCGGCTACAAATTACACGCTACAGACTACAAACTAATTCGACTAGAAACTACAAAATTTACAGGATGCAAGGGTCGAAAATGCTTAATTGTGGAATCTTTGAAATCTTTGTTTCGAATAAATATGTGTTTTTAGATCTATTTTGGGATTTTTTTTATAGAACGGAAAAATGCGTAATTTTACACAGTAATATTTTATTCGGCGTAATTTTTCACCGTCTGAAAGATATCAATTAAAAATAGTTATTTCAATTTTTCAGGCACTGGTTTCCCATCACGAATCCTGTTGTTGATCAGCATGTCAAAATATTTGAACCTGAAATTAAAAAAATAGTTTTGTAAAATTAGATAAAGTACCCAGCATCTTCAGCAGACCCATGGTCCTCAGTTTCTTTCGATATCGTGGCGTCGAGGCGAGACTGAAGGCCGACTAGATCTTGGAGAACCTGCAAAATAGCTTAAACAGCTTAAATAAAATTTAAATTTTGGAAATTTTAAAATTGATTTAAAACGCTTTAAAATAAATAAATTATACGAAGAATGTAAAAAATGTATTTTTAAATTCTTTACAGAACAGAATTTAGTAAAAATAAAGTTTTAAGCTGTTGGGGATATTTTTGAGGTTTTTCCTGCGAAATAAAATTCCTCTTTTGTATATAAATACAATCAAAAACAAGCCGCCTAAAATATCAAATGGTAAAAAATAACAGAAGTCAATAAAATCGAATTTCCGAATTTTCGGAACTTTGCAATTGTTTCGACAAATAAGATAAATTTTGATCTTTAGAACAATTTTAATTGCAATTTAAAAATAACCGACCTGCATAAACGTATTGCTCGCAATAAACTGCCTCTCCAGATCCTTCTTTTTCGATTTTACAATCTGCCACTGATCATAGCTAGGTATTGTCGGATACATTGGAATAATAGTCCTCGGTGTCGTCATTCTCTCCCCAGATTCATACGATTTCAATAATCTGAATTCCTCAAGATTCTCGTTAGATGTTTCTCGATAAATTGGCGCTCTCGTATACCAATTTCCCCTCGGTTTTTCTGTGTCTTTATCTTCACTTTTCTCCTCAAATTCTTGACTCTTCGATTTAAAGTTCGTATTTGTAAATCGGTGAATTTCCCCTGATTTTTCTTCAGCAGATTGTAGTTTGTAGTCTACAGTTTTCTTGGTCTTTTCCGATTTGAAAATCGGACGTTTTGGAAGGCGGAATTCTTCAGAATTTGATTCCGTCGATTCTGCGGCTAGTGTTTTGTAGTTTGTAGTTTTTGGCGTCTTTTCTGGTTTATATAGCGGCTTTTTAGTTGGCTTAGCTTCTTCAGAAGTTAATCCCGCAGATTTCGGGGGTACTGTAGTATCGGAATTAGGTGTATTTGTACTACTCGCTGTTGTCGTAGTTGTCGTGGACGTACTACATGGTATTTCTGACCCTTCCGTGGTAGTACTCCTTACAGTAGAGACTTCCGGTACCGTAATAGTAGTCTTCGGGGCTACTGTAGTTGTTGTGATTGGAGCAACGATCACCGGACTAACGCCTTCGGCTTCTCCCTCAATTTCTTTGACGGGTATCCCCTGGGCTACCGTATCCCAAGGGTTATTCCAGTTTTTATCCAGTTGGACCGTCAAATTCTTTTCAAATCCATATCCACATCAGCGCGCAGCTTTTTGGCCATGTTCTGAAAAAATAACAGAAAAATAAGATTTGAAAGCTTGTATTAGAAACAATTTTAACTTTAAAATTGATTTTTCCGCTTAGATTTTCCCTTAAAAACTAAAAACGTACCCGATACATCAAACAGCACATCATACCCCCGCAATTACGGTATCCAGGTGCACAGCTACAAGGGAATCCCCTGCACGGCATATGTTCGGGAGGGAGGATAAGGCAGTCGACGTGGCAGCCCGGCATACTGTACAGGGTGTATCAAAAAAAAGTGCCCAAGTTTGTCCCCGAATATCTCGAGAAAGAAAAATATTTCACCGTGCGTTACCATGCCAGAATGCTTAAATATGTCAGGAATAGGGAAATAACTCAACTTGATTTTTTCGATTTTTGAGTACGCAACTGTACTATTGACGCTGGTTACGACCGAAAATTGTGCGTTCTTGAATGGGTGGTGGAAAAATTCTGATTTTTGGCCGAAATATAGTTGAAATTAGTAGAAGGGTAATAGCAAATTTTTAGAATTTTTGAAGGTCTTGTTATTTTTTTACAAGCAAAACAAATTTCAGCATTTTACACCTTTTTACTTCTTAATTCGCAACTCGCTTCAAATCCGCTGCCCATGGCTGATCTTTTGCAATTGGTGTCTCCGAATGATAATCTTTAGTACAGTACCAAATTTTACCTGATTCTATGGTATTTTCCTATTGCTTGCTAAAACGTGCCCCAGAGGGATACTGTAGTTTTTGTTTTTCGCGTTTTTCTCTTGACTCAAAGCTGCGATCTCGCTGAAAATTTTATCA